ACCCACCCACCCACAACACACACCTGCACCGCATGCAGCTGCCCCTCCAGCTCCCCAAGGTGCTCCTGTTTACGCTTGCGGCTGCGCCGAGCTGACTCTCGGTTGGAGATCATGCTGCGGGCAGGGGCAAGCATCGGTGGGCAGGCAGGGGAGGCGAGTCAGCAGCGAGAGGCAGGCGGCAAAGCAGAGGAGCGAGCAAGAGCCAGGCGGGGATGGCAGGTACAAGCCAGGCTGGGGCATGTGCACTGGCGGGCATTGGGGCTTGGGCTCGGAGGCTGGGCGCGGCCGGCTGGGCACGGTACAGCACACCACGGAGCAGGCTGAGCGCATGGCCTGCCATGGTGTCTTGAGGAACAAAGCGGGGAAGCAGGCGGCGGGGCCGCTCACCGGCGCACGCGGCGCAGCTCTTGCTTGGATAGCGCCTCTGGGTGGCTGATGACGGCACGGGGGGTGGCCGCCTCCGCCTCCGCCTCCGCCTCAGAGGCCGGAGGCGCTGGCGCCGGCGCGGCGGCTGCTGCCGCTGCCGCCGGCGCTCGGCGGCGCTCGGCGGCGGAGCCGGCTGCGGCGCCGCCCTCCGAGGCGCCTGCTGTGGCGCTGGGCAGGGATGGAGCCATGCCATGGTCGGCGCGGCCTCCCGGCACGTTGGGTACCAGCGGCAGCGGCATGAGTGAGGCTGCCACGGCGGCGGACAGGCCTGGCCCCGCATACGCGCCCAGCCCGGGCATGGCGCAGCCGGGCATGAAAGAGAGGGGCACCAGAGCGCCGCCCATGACGCCACCTGCTGCCATCACCATCTGCTGCCGCGCCTGGGCGTGGGCCTGCGCGCTGGGCAGCCCGCCGCCCTGGCTGGCCTGGCGCGCCGCCTGCGGCACGTCCCCGCTGCTGCCCTGCTGCCGCTGCTGCCACGGCTGCTGCGGCTGTGGCTGCGGCTGCGGTTGCCCTTGCGCTAGTGGTGGTGCTTCCGAGTCTGAAGAGCAGGGCGGCTCGGCCTTCACCCAGCCCGCCAGCTGCTCCTGCTGCCGCTGCAGCTGCTCCTGAGGTGAGGGGCGCATGGGGCGCAGCAGGGCGCCGCCGGCCGCGCAGTCCTGCCCCACCGCGGCGGCCGCGGCGGCAGCGGCGGCTGGGACCAGTCTGGCTGCAGCAGCCGGGCCTGCGTCGGCCTTGGAGCCAAGGAAGGCTCTGCAGGCAGTGGCCGGGCAGCAGGGCAGGGGGCATGGGTGACGAAGAGCAGGCGAGGGCGTGACGGCAGGCGTGACGGCATGGCCCCAGGGAGCGTGGGGACGCGTGAGCTGCGGCAATGCAGCAATTTTGTTTCTAAGAGTTCTCAATGTCTCTAGGGTCTAAGCCTCTGACTGCAACGTTGGACCAGCTTGCCTGATGAAGTCGAGGGAAGCGACACGGGGCAGGCCATGCATCGGCGTCTCAGTGTCGCTGTCAGTGGCGGTGGCGGCGCCGCCGCTGGCCTGCGGAGCCGCCGCCGCTAGGTTGGAGGAGGCTGGAAGTATCCTGAGCACATCCTGCATCTGTAGTAGTGGACACGAGAGGGGCGTGCAGGGTCGGTGGATGGGGTCGGCGCCCACGGCGCCGCGCGGAAGCTGGCGGTGGCGCTGGTGTGATGGTTCGTGCAGGCCCACCTGCGCGTCCGGCTCCAGATATGGCAGCGAGGCGGTGCTGCCAATCCTGTAGTAGGCCTCAGCCGAGAGCTCAAGGCCGTTCAGGGATGCTTCGCTGCCCAGCATCTCTTGGAGAGGGCGCTGCCCGAATTCAGGCCTGGTTCCGGGTTCAGGGAATGAGCGCAGAGGGCTATCGGAGACGGGGGCTGGGACTGCTGGCCCAAGCACAAGAACTTGTCGAGGTGTCGGGAGAAGCCTGCCGTGCGCTCAGAACTGTGAATCAGCACGCTGGTGTGGAAAGAGGTGATAAACAGCGTGCAGGGCGCCGAATTTCTCGGGATTCTGGAAAGACTCTGGAGCGGTCTTCATTTGGCGCGCCCGGGCGCTGCTGCGGCTAAACTCCTCGGCCTGGTGTGCTCAAACAGTCGCCCACAGATCCTTCTGCCGTCAGTGGAGCCTCCTTTCAGCCTCATCTCCATCCCTCACCCTACTCACGCACCTTGGCTGGTTGGCACCCCTCGTTCACGCGGCCGACAGGCAGCTCGTTCACAGGGAGCGTGGTCTGAGCCACTGCAACAAAGGTCGCGTCTGGGTCATGGCTCTCGCACAGCGCCTCGCGCGCCTCCCCCAGGCGGTGCAAATCAAGCTGTACTCACTCTTCGATCAGGGCACGGTGAGTGGGCAGGCGGGCGCTGGCTGTGCGGGCGGGATCACCCGCGCCGCCTCGTGTGCGGGCCGCGGCATGGGTCCGGAAGCACGCTCAGTCAGCCGGTGCAGCCCAGGTTGTGCTCAGCTATTCGTGGATGCCGCTCTGAACATCACAGCTCAGCATGTGCATCAGCTTCACACAGCAGCGACAGACACGGCCTGCTTCCTGTGCCGCTCCCTCGCGCTCCGCCGGACTCGAAACCTCTCAGCTCTCCTGCTCCTGTCCCACCCTGGCTGCCCTCCCTGCCCGCTTCACCCCGGCCCTCTCATACATCTCTGCACCCGCCTGCGCGCCCGCCCGCCCTCTCTC